TTCTATTTTTTTTTTTAAATTCAACCCAATAATAATAAAAAAAAAAACTTAGCTCGAACCAATCTTTAAATTTCTATTCGGTAGTCTGGTTATTCTTTGGTCATATGAACACTTCCGTTGTACGAATATTTCTTTTTTTAGTTTGATTCAATAAGTTATTTATTATTCTTTCTAAGCATAAGACTTAATTTCGAACATTTAGCTTTTTAGCATCGAAATCTTTCGATATCAAATTCAAATTCATTTAATGTGAAAAAGGTATTCTTCATTAATATAATTTTTTTAATTTCTCATTAAACACATTTTTTTTTAATGTTGGGTATCCAAGTCAATCGTCTGACCAATAAATTCTATTTTATCGAAAAAAAATTAAAAATTTAAATTTATTAAATATTTTTAAATTATATATATATATATTAATGTAGAGAATAAATCCGTAGTTATCCTTAATTTTTGTATTATGTCTAAACACATTGTATTGACCATTTGCATGACATTTTTGCAATTAGTCTCAAAAGCCAACTGAAATAATTCTATAACTCGACCAACTGAAACCAAATATATTCATGAACGTACCCATTTTCCTAATTTGTAATTATTACAAAATCGAAAATTAGGAAAACAAAAACGTATAGATATTTGCAATAATCCACCGAATTTCAAAGTTGTAAGGGTATTATTGAAACTTTTGAAAGTTTCGAGGGTATTTTTGAGGCAAAGTGCAAGTTTCATGGATATTTTTATTTAATGTTTTATTTATAATTTAATATTATTCATGGTATGGTATGAAGCACTCATAATTTTGAGTATAATCTTGAATAGTACGGAGTTGATATACATAATGATCATGTTCAGGTAATAACCTAGAAAGTCAGTATATGAATAAGGTTGAGTTTCTTATCCGAGTAATACAATTGAGATAGTCCACTTTAAAATTGTTACAAATAATTTGATATAAATTGTTCACGTAGATTTAAGACTGAATTATGAAATAATTATTATTTATTTATAAATCATATTTAATTGTGAACTTTGACTATTAAAAATATAATAATAATATTTATTGTTATTATTATTATTATTATTATTATTCAATTATTTTCGGCTGGAAATTTTTTTGTTTTTTTTAAATGATAATGCATCATCTTCGTTGAATGTGAGATGTGCAATGTGAAATGGGAAATAATAAATTTATTTAATTATATCCTCGAACAAAAATTCAATGAAAAGAAGATCGAAAATGAGACGAAGGGTTGTATGGCTATGCTAAGTTCACGAGACTTAGATCGATCAAGTTCGTTACTAAATTCATGTTCGACAACATTTTTAAATTGAAAACAAACGAAAATATGCATGCTCGATAGAAAACAGAAAGCTCTATAAAAGTATAGGCTGAGTTTACAAACGAGTTAAAAGAGAGTTTAAGACCGTTCAAAGTAAAATTACTAAAACGGAGCTAAATGGGAGGTGAGAGTATGTTGAAATTTATTTCATAAAGACTCGTGATTAATAATAATTTGATTATTTTATTTTTCAATACTGAAAATGTTAAAGTTATTATTAGTGTAATCTTAAACAATATGTAACTGAATATCAGATAATCATAAAACAATAGGTAATTGAATATCAGATAATCATAAAACATTCTAACAATGCATCATAAAGCAATCCTCCAGTGTGCCGATGTGACACATATACAACCCCAGTATTAAGTTATACTAATAACATGTTAATATTAAACTTTTATAATAAACAAATTATAATTACACGAGACATATAAATTACCTTAAAATTCTACTGCGTAGGACCTAAGATTCATCAATGAAATGAGCAATGATTATCATATATCCCTTCTTCTGGTTACTTGCAGTCACCAAAATATCGAACCATGAACGAAGAAAGGCATGAGAGAAAAACATATTGGCTAGTGACTGTGAGGCCCCAATTCTTGACAGGAGGGAACAACCTCTGCCTTTCCATCCATCGGACAGATAGAGAGGGAGGGCAGAGCTTTTTTTTGGTTTTATCATGTTGTCGAAGAGTTGAACAATGGTTTTTCGTGTTGTCAAAGAGTTGAATGATGAAAATAGATGGCGAGTGCCTAATCGAATTGATCGGGTCATGTAGGAACAAGGTTCAAGTCTACCGGTCTGTTAGGATGCTTCAACTGCATACATCACTGCACTTCCACTTGACACCTATCGTGATGATAAACGAGTCATCTCGCTCTGACCTAGTAAATTGTTGTAGTGTCTCAACATAAAACATATGTGTTTGGAGCATCAAACAGTGTCGAAAGGGTATCAACAACACCAAGGAATTGTTAAACAACCTTCATCTTTGTAGCACTGAGACACTCATTTGTAGCATCGCTCGATGTTATAAATGTCCTCAACTCATAGTTTTGCAGCGTCGAGATGCTATGTCCTCGACTATGGAGCCCATGCCAATCAATCAAATTAAAAATTACATATTGGTTTAAATCCTATCCATATTTCTACAATATACCCTCTTCTCTACTTTGAGATCAATAACGTGAGATCCCACATCAGTTAGCGAAGAAAACGAAACATTCTTTATAAGGGCGTGAAAACCTCTCCTTACCACACCCATTTCAAAATCCTTGTACGAAAACAGAAGAACGGACAGCATAAAGAGATAATATATGGTACAGGTGAGCTTGAAGTGTTACAAATATGATCCTCGTGCCTATAGATGAGCATTTTTTTAGACAAATTGGATGAAAACGAAGCTTAAAATGGATAGCTATTTGTGGTGAGAGCTATAAATAGGGTTAGTCGAAGCAAAGATATCGGGTATGATAGGTATATGAACTGAAACTCAAACAAAAACTAGTTTGGTTGTTACCATTCCAACCCAAAACCCAAGCTTTGATCTCATGAGTCATGACTCCTTTCTCTCTTAATCTCTCCCAATCTCTCTCTTTGCTATACATTCCAAAGGAAGCTCCATAAACAAACAAGTCCTTAAGCAAACATTGTGTAAACATGAATTGCCTATCATGCCAAGCCCTTCCAAGGACCCAATCTGATAGGGAGGATGAAGCTCAAGAGACCTCTTCTAGCGTACGCCAATCGTGTTGCCTACACATATCACGGCGGTGGTCGACCGAGCTGACACCTCGGTCCTATGAGTCGATCAAATCCAACAACAATATTGCCTCATCTTTGCACCAGAAGGCCAAGAATCGTCGTATTCAGAGCGATTGTGGCTGGAAAGAACCGAGGTTGATTCGGTGCTCTGGGATGAGAAGGAATTGGAGCTTTGAGGAGTTGGGGTTGAGAGATCAAAAGAAAGGGAGGTTCCATTGAGGTCTTGTTTTTCCCCACATTGCTTCTTTCTCTCGTGTTTATATTTCGTTAATAATGTTCATACTTCATTGGCTAAACGTTCTAAATGTTATAGGTATGAATTTCCACATTTTTAACTCAAACCGAAGAAAATAATAATAAACTAGCCGGGCACAAGAAATATCTCATTGACCTTTCCCTTGTTTAACCAATGCAAACAACGGATTTTTTCATCCAATACAAACTAGAGTTACTTATCATGAATATTGCCGATGTATATATATACATATATACACACATATATATACATATATACACACATATATATACATATATACACACATATATATACATATATACACACATATATACACATATACATATATACACACATATATACACATATACATATATACACACATATATATACATATACATATATACACACATATATATACATATACATATATACACACATATATACATATACATATATACACACATATATACATATACATATATACATATACACACATATATACATATACATATATACATATATATATGATATACATATATATATTAATATTAATCTCCAACATCTTAGATGATCTTATTTGAAAATTTCTATAGGGGAATACCTTAAAATGATGTATTAATACAATAAAATTTTTGTGTCCTTAATAATTTAATATTTTATTGTAATGAATTTAGTTTTATATGTTATTTTGTAAAACAAGTTAATTTATATTGCTTTTAATTTTCTTTTATTAATTTCAATTTTAATGTAAAATTCTATTGGACTGATCTTGATGGGTAGTAAAATAAAAAATAAATTAAAATGAAAATAAAAACTTTATTGTGCATTTTTTAGGTTAAAAATAATAAAATAATACTTTTGTTTCTATTTTTTTATTTTGAGAAAAAACGGTGGATTTGAGTTTGTTATTTACGAAATTTCTATTGGATTCGGGGAATGTTTATGTAAAAACGAGAAACAAGAAAACATAAAGATCAATGTCCGCAACGTATTGAGATGTCAGTATCTAGTAGTGAATGTGTTCCCGGGTCTATCTGCAACATTATAGTGCAAATGTGTTCCTAGGTCTATCATCAACATTCTAGTGAAAATCATCTCTATCTTTTTCAAAGCACATCAAGACCAAAACAATGCTTTCATGTTCCTTGATAGTTTGATTGGGTAGGGGCGGAAGATATTAATAAGCGGAAGATATTATTAAATGAGTGAATATCGATCTCTTTTAGCTCTTCGTACTCATATTCCTTTGTTGTCCATGTCTCTTACAAAAAAATGTATAAAAAGCTCTACCAAAGTAGTTTGCATATCTCGTACCACGACCAGATCCTAGTATAGATTCCAAATGCTCTCATAAGGCTGCACACGGTCTACAACTGGATTCTCGTATAGATTCTAAATGCTCATATAGGGTTGCACGAAAAGCTCCCTTAAGACCCTATCATTATAGATTTGGTATCAATCGTGACATTTGAGAAACTTGTTTGGACTTTCCCTGACTTCTCCCTCGACTTCCCCCTCAAAATTTTTAAGACGTGTCTATTGAGGAGAGATCTCACTATAACATTATCTAATAGGCCCTCCATGGGAGACTTACATTAGACTAAAACAAACAGCTGATCACATTTTGAACCAAGCAAGATGCTATAAAATTAGAATGAACAAACTGTGTGACATTAATATAAGGGATATCCATATTCAACAGGGATAAATAAACATGTATATCTACACCTCCAAACTTACACATATTTGAAAACACTTCCGATCGCCTTCAACCCGACCCGGGAGAGATCTACCTTCTTTCTCAACCCAATCTATGCATACAACGCCATCGTCATCGTCATCGGTTGAATGTTTGTTCTAGACGATACGAAATCACAGCAAAAGCCCCAACTACAACAGCGAAATCATAAGAATAATGTCATACATGTTATCAATAATTTAGGAATGCGAACTCGAACTCGAACTCAGCTCTTTAATTCTTCTTCTTTCTCGCATCTGCTTTCCAATTTCTTCGACCGAGCACCTTTTTCGCTGTCTCTGAGACGAGCTGTTCGGTAGGTGGCTCTGAGTGTGATCGTGTTTCTGATTGTGGTTCGGGATGAGAGGGCTGGCACTGGATTTGACCCTCACTGGTTGATGATTTTGCAGCCATATTAGAACTATTACAAGAGGCTTCTTCTAACCCTCTTGATACACTGGCATTTCTTGCTTCCTTCTTCCAATTTCGACTACAATGAACTCGAGTCAAGGGATTGTTCGCAACACCATTTGGTTGAAAATATGTTCCTGTTTGAGTAGGGTGTTTTATGGTTGAAGCCTTCTTTATTTCTTCTTCTAAACGTTTCCGAGCTCTATATCTGCGTTGCCTTTCTCGATTCTTCAGTCGACGAGTCATGATATCGTTGTCTATTCTGATGTATTTTTCTTGATCTGCGAGCTTCATCGGAAAACTACTCTCTGCTTCAGCAACGTGCTTATTTTGCACGATTTCCATTTCGAAGGTCGGATTCAAATCACTGCTTCATCGCCTAACCCTTTATCTTTCAGACGACTTGCCAACAGTCTACGAACCTAATACACAAAAATGAATGTTCTGTCAATATACAACGAATAATTAACACAAAATTCAAGATTCTACAAAAATACAAATGTGAATTGTTGCAGATAAAAGAGTTTTACAATAAAAAGCAAAAGATATTCATAAACTACACTTTTGGAGTCGATCTACTAAAAGATTCGAGCTAACCGACGCAGCATTCCAACTAGTTCAAAGGCGCTATAACCGAACTGGTAAAACGAGAAATTTTCTTCAGTTTTTGCTAAATCAAACCATTCGATGTTACTACTACAAAAAACGCTCGACTTCTCTTCACCGTGCTGCATACATGAATGCAGATGTTTCTGTTCAATAGAATATTAGAAATCAAGCACTTGATATTCGCACATCAGTATAACAATTGAGCAACTTACAGATATGAAACACAATCTGACTAGAAACCATGCAACATTTAACAATATGATATTATCTACTTTGAGCATAAACCACCTAGACTTTATTTTTTGTTTCACCCAAAAGGTCACATATCAATGAGGATGGTCTTCCCCTTATCTAGCCAAGGCGGGACTTCGGTTGCATTCACAACAATCTTTTCCTTGAACAAAGAAACATCCAGCCGGGTGAGTGTATCACATAATCAGACCAAATCCTCTTCACACGATACACACCACCTGTTCGATAAGCTCGACCACAAAACACTATGACTATGCCATCGATGCACACTAACACAACTAAGTTAGAACTAAGACTTTGATACCATTTGTTAAGGGCACATATCTCCATAATCGTATGACTGTCTACTTTGGGCATAAGCCCTCATGGTTCCGTTTCGGAAACACCCCAAATGTCTCATACTATGCAGGCCTTTTCATTCTTATTACAACGTCCTCGACCATAGAATTCGGTCTGAGGGGTCAACCCAGTGGCTTCTACGAGGAAAGCGGCACAAAGAAGGCTCCAGGGCTTGTTAAGGAAGGCGGCATGGCTAAGTGAACCCCGCCCAGTAGACTCCCAGCTTGGCTCATCCCCTTCGTCAGCTCTATTATCGGGTACTATTACGTAGGTTAGTAAAGTTTGAATGTATGGCTGTTTTCCAGAACAATATATACTCGAATTTAAAGAATAAACGAGATGCTGTAGATATGAGTAAAACAGGGCTTTTGTGTTCCTTTTACAAAAGCTTCCATTTCCATATGGGAAGAGTAGCAGAACAACTTGGAATCCAATTAGAGCATGTTAAAAGAGAAAGGGATAGGAATACAATTCACTATGCGAAAAGATAAAAGAAATTAGGGCATCAGTTTGACCAATAGCTACCAAAATACAAACATCTTCCTCATTTAACACCATAATAGAGGGCTTTTTGTGTAAAAATTTCACCGATTCAGAAGCTAGAATCTGGGGATTCACATTTGGGATTTGAAAACAGAACAAGAACCTAAGAACCAGGAAGATCCAGAAATAACCGAGAAGGGGAAATACGAGATAGCCAATAAATATTGAATCAAATCACTGAAACGAAAAACAGGAAGAGAAATATTGAATCTAGGTAAGGTGGAGGATGACGGAGGCGAAAAAAGGGGAAAAATCGATCCAGAAAGAAAAATTTGAGGAAAATTACAGCTGAAGAACGTAAAATAGAGAAAATGAATAAAAAAGAATCGAGAGAAAAGCAATATAAATACCTTGGAAATGAAGATCTGCACGCGTTGATTGGAACTATTCACGGAGGAGATAGAAGAAGGGGAAAGCTATATATAGAGAAGGAGACTAGAACGATGATCTATGATTTTCAGACGCACGTAATGGACGGAGGATTCGCTCGAAATGTTTTTTTTTTTTTTTTTTTTTAAATTAATTTTAAAAAATACTCCAAAATAATATTTTTATTTTTATTTTTTATATTTTTATCATTAATTTTGAATAAAAAAACTATTATTGGCATTTTTGAAACATATTAACTTAAAAGATAAAACAATGTTAAATATTTCATACATAATAAAATAAAAATAAAATAAAATGGATTAAAATGATGTGCTAGAGTGACCTGAGTTCTACAAAAATGGAAACGAGCTACCCTATTTAGGTTCGATGGTATTTGATGCACATCAACCGTACATGGGTATCTTGCATTTTTGTGGAATATAAAAGTAGCACAATATTTACCGGAAATAGTTAATAAGTGACTATACTATTGCGTTAGAAAATGCAAACACATGTAACATGAATTAAATCTATCATTTAAAATCGTATTCTCTTAGGTGTCTTTCCCGTTCGAGTCATCAGATGTGTATTTACTACTCTACACACGACCCATACATGTGAATGTGGACCCACTAGACGGTTCGCCCTGGGCCTCGTGTGGGCCAGGCTAGGGTCTTTGGTGCTTTTGTCGGACATCCAAAAGGAATAGCGACTGTCATATGATCGTGATAAATATAATGATCATTTTCTATTTCATAACGTACGCGTTCGTACTAATCATAAGCTGAAACATCCTGATGCACGTGAACATACATTTATGCATGAGGTTCCAACATTTGGCCAGGCTAGGGTCTTTGGTGCTGGTGTCGGACACCCAAAAGGAATAGCGACCGTCATAGGATCGTGATAAACATGATGATCATTTTCCATTTCATAACGTATGCGTTTGTACTAATCATAAGCTGAAACATCCCGATGCATGTAAACATACATTTATGCATGAGGTTCCAACATTTTTTGTTTGTAAAGAAATCATACAAAGAACCCCGTTTTCCAATTTCATTTCATTCATAGCATAACTTTTAAAACATGTCTCGGGTTGTATCTCATAAATATCCTTATCTCAAAAGGTTTCATCACATGTCATACATGTCATGGCCCAACGTAATTATGTCACAGTGTATCATAGCATTTCATAGCATATTACAATTTTTCAAGGCATAATATGACATCCATTTGTATTCTAATGTTAGAAGGGCATATCACATTAGAATAATGCATTTGGATCTCACAATCCACCCCGTTGGAGGCCAGCGTCCTCGCTGACACATTACCTAGTGTCGGGCTCTAATACCATTTGTAATGGTCCAAGCCCCATCACTAGCAGATATTGTCCTTTTTGGGCTTTCCATTCTGGACTTCTTCTCAAGGTTTTAAAATGCGTATGCAAAGGAGAGGTTTCCACACCCTTACAAGGAATGCTTCGTTCCCCTCTTCAACCAACGTGGGATCTCACATAAATTCTAACGCCGGAGTCAGAATGACAACAAACTATAAATATGGGAGATATACACCCACTAAAGTTACGCAACTTAACCTAAGCTCAACTTGACATCTCGTGTACATCACTATCTTAAGCATCAAAGGTGTTGAATAGATCAAAATCTTTCATCCTACTAACAGAAGAATAATAAAATTCTTGATTATGTCATCCGCTAAAGAGGTTGATCCAAGAACGAATTTCTTTTATATTTTTGTTATTGTCTTTCGCATGAGACCTTCGCAACAATATGATCACTATATGTTACGCTCGATTGGATTCAAACTCTCATCAAAGTATAACATAGTTTAACTCCGAAGTAAAAAGTTCCATATATATCCTAGTAACAATTAACTAACGATTGTATTGTATATGTCTAGGTAAATAAAGTTAAAAAATTAAGAATATTTAGACTGTACAGCCGGTTAATCTAACAATATACCAAGTTTATTCGACTATATACATTAGACAAAACCCAACTGGGTTGTAAAAGAAGTGAGTAAATTAAACTCCAAAGCAAATGAAGACTCAAAACATCTTTTGTTTCGTTATATTGCTTACTTTTGAATCAAACATGATTATTAACTCATGTTTTGCACAATCTGATTCCTAATACTCGCTCCCAGGGACCTCGTGGAAAGTGATCATTTTGAATCAAATGAATGGTTTAGCTCTGTTGGTTCACTGCAAGTCAAAAGATAGCGATTTTGGTGAGCAACAGATCTTGCCGGGAGGCAATTTCAATTGGAGCTTTGAAGAAAATTTTTGGCAGACAACATTGTATTGGTGCAATTTTATGAGCAACCACGGACGTGCTTCTGGTGAAGTATTTTGGCCAAAAAAAAGGAATTGGCTTGGTGCTCAATGTGACCATCGTAACTGCATTTGAGTTGCTAGCGAGAATGGTATTTTCTTACGTCTTGGTTCTCAAGATTTGTATCAATTAATGTACCCATGGAAATGATGTAACCCAACACTTACGAACATAATTATCGATCGAGGCATAATGCTTTATAAATGAAAACTCTTGTGACTTTTTTAAAGGTCAATCCTTCCGTTCTTGTTAAAACTCAACATAGTTATATTTTGTTCTTAATTCATCGTTAAATATGTAAGATCTCACATCGGTTGGAGAGCGGAACGAAGCATTTCGTGTGGAAATCTCTCCTTAGTAGACGCGTTTTAAAATCGTGAAGCTTACGACGATTCGTAAATAGCTAAAGCGGACTATATTTGTTAGTGGTGGACTTGGACAATTTTTGAAGCATGAAAGTCCTTGATGCTATGATTAAATTTTCAGGTATCACATAGTGGATGTTGATTTTCATATAGTAAAAATTACACGTTTTAGGTTTCACGTTTTCGAAAAGACATTGAAGAGCATGAAAATATCTCATTTTTGTTGGTGGTTTGATGATACCCACTCCAAATTATAGTGTTGGTTAAGGTGTTACTTCCTATATGCCAATATTCAAACATGATCTTTGTGAGTATCAAAAGCTTTCCACTTATGATATCTATTTTACCCTTTTGCTTCCCTAGATGTTCATTTTTTCTTTGCAACTTGCACACACCCACTCATTATTGCCTACTACTCCAAGTCCTTCTCGACGCTCTTATCGTCATATTTTTCGATAAACAAATTTATCGTAGGCTAATTGAGAGAACTTCGACCTAATGATACAATTGTGAATTTGTGACAAAACGCATGTTTTCTTAGGGATGTATATAGATTGAGTTAGGTTTGTTGTGTTGGTGACTCGAACAACTCGAATAGAGCTCAAATTGGGTTGGATTGAGTTGTCAAGTTGTTTTTTTTGTAACGACCATAAATTTTTGCATGCTCAAATTCGTTGCTAATTTTATCAGAAGTCTCTATCCTCCGTATAGAGATTATGGCACATGCATAGGGTAGACTCATATTTAAACTCCTAGTCTTAAGTTATAATAGGTTATTTTGCATTTTATTGTTTTACATTATTTTATTTTGTAATTGTTTTTATTTTTTTTGAATTTCAATATTTCGTATTTAAACACGTAAAATCATGACTATGTTCCAGAGAAGATGATGTTTTATAAATGTTTTCGACATTTATATTATAGATAATGTTTTCTTTTAAGAGATATTTCCGAATTAGTCATCAGCATGTGTGATATCCCACATTGGTTGGGGAGGAGAACAAACCACCATTTATAAGGGAGTGGAAACCTTCCCTTAGCAGACTCGTTTTAAAGCTTTGAGGGGAACCTTGAAAGGGAAAGCCCAAAGAGGACAATATCTGCTAGCGGTGGATCTGGATCGTTACAAATGATATCAGAGCCAGACACCGGACGATGTGCCAGCCTTCTCGCTGTTCCCTGAAGGGGGGTAGACACGAGGCGGTGTGCCAGTAAGGACGCTGGCCCCAAAGGGGGGTGGATGTGGGGGCGGTCCCACATCGATTGGAGGAAGGAAAGAGTGCCAGCGAGGACTTCTCGCTGTTCCCTGAAGGGGGGTAGACACGAGGCGGTGTGCCAGTAAGGACGCTGGCCCCAAAGGGGGGTGGATGTGGGGGCGGTCCCACATCGATTGGAGGAAGGAAAGAGTGCCAGCCTTCTCGCTGTTCCCTGAAGGGGGGTAGACACGAGGCGGTGTGCCAGTAAGGACGCTGGCCCCAAAGGGGGGTGGATGTGGGGGCGGTCCCACATCGATTGGAGGAAGGAAAGAGTGCCAGCGAGGACTTCTCGCTGTTCCCTGAAGGGGGGTAGACACGAGGCGGTGTGCCAGTAAGGACGCTGGCCCCAAAGGGGGGTGGATGTGGGGGCGGTCCCACATCGATTGGAGGAAGGAAAGAGTGCCAGCGAGGACGTGCCAGTAAGGACGCTGGCCCCAAAGGGGGGTGGATTTGGGGGCGGTCCCACATCGATTGAAGGAAAGAGTGCCAGCGAGGACGCTGGACCCCGAAGGGGGGTGGATTGTGATGTCCCACATTGGTTGGGGAGGAGAACAAACCACCATTTATAAGGGTGTGGAAACCTTCCAAAGAGGACAATATGGACAATATTTACTGGATCTGGGTCGTTACAGTATGAGATGTCCAAAGCTGGATCTGAGTGAACCGGACCCAAAAAAATTCACTACAAACTAATTTGTTCAATTTTTGTCGAGCTATTTGCTTAAATTAGAAAACGGTATGTCCTAGTACGATATTGTCCACTTAGAGTTTAAGCTCTCAGCTTTTCTTTGGGCTTCCCCAAAAGACCTCGTAAGACCTCGTACCAACAGAGATAGTATTCCCCACTTATAAACCCATGATCTTTGAGTAGTTATACATTGGAAGATACACTTTATGCGTGTAACTTTCAATTATTTTTAGTCTTTCTTAACTATTATATCTTTAAAATCACTCTCTCTTCTTTAAAATCACTCTCTTTCGACTGTGGTCTGGATTCTTCCATGTATCTCTCGTTTACTCTAGCGTAACAAATGATCTTGTCAATTTGAATATAGCTCAATTATGTTTGAATTTATATTAGTTATATAAGTTACAAATATTTAAATATTGATCCCAGAATAACTCGATCAACCAAAGCATTAGTTACTTCATTTGGTCGTGGTTCAAATGTTTCCTTCATTTTTTCTCTCTCTATATTTAATATCTTTAAATATATTAATACATGAAGTTAAAAAATAAATAAAGAAGGTAAAATAATTAAGATTAAATAGTAAGTTCGATGTAGAACTTTCAAATAGAGCATCTAGATCTAAACTTTTGTACTAAGAATAAAATATTTCACATTACTTTAAAAGATTCTATTTATTCTATTTTATATATTTATAGCTAAAAAGACTCTAAACTTTAAAAATATTATAATGAGTAGACGAAATGTTCGGTGAAGTCTAAGTTCAAAAACCTATTAGAAACTTCATAAAACTATAAGTTTAGTTTGAACTAAGCCTCCATTAGACAAAAATTCAAATTTAAGAATCTACTGGAAAGTTTCGATCGTTCATAGACCAGATAGACAAAAACAAAATATCAAAATTCAGAGACTAAACTTGTAGTATAACCTAAAAGATCATTGACACGTCAATTCAAGAATGAGAGACTAAACTTAAAATTTAACGGGTTTTGAAATAACCCTAGAAACGAAGAAAGGGGGCATTAGGTGGGTTTCTAATATCAAACTGAAAGAGGAAGGAAACCCTAAGGAGGTGAGGAGGTATACCAAACTTGGAGTCCTATAACTTGGAGAAGGACCAAATGGTTGGGGATTGGTTTTTGAATCAAGAGGAGAGGAAGTGTAACACCCCAAAACCGTGAGCTTGACAACGATAATAATGGGCTAAAACGAATAATATCTATTAGTGGTGGGTTCGGGCTGTTACAAGTGTATCAAAGCCAGATATCGGACAATGTACCAGCGAGGATGTTAGGCTCCCAAGAAACATCTGATGGAGAGGGAAACGGAGCACTTTTTACAAGGGTGTGGAAACCTCTCCCTAGTAAACCTATTTTAAAACCATGTGGCTGACAGCGATACGTAACAGGCCAAAACAGACAATATCTGCTAGCGGTGGGCTTGGGCCATAATGGACAATATCCGCTGACGGTGGGTTTAGGATGTTACACGAGAGATTCTAAGCTTGACAACGGTAAGTAATGAGCCAAAACAAATAATATCTACTAACGGTGGGTTTGGGCAGTTACAAGTAGTATCAGAGCCAGATATCGAACAATGTATCAGTGAGTACACTAGGCTCCCAAGGAACACCTTTGGGAGTGGGAGAGGGGAACAGAGCATTTTTTACAAGGGTGTGGAAACCTCTCCCTAATAAATTCGTTTTAAAACCGTGAGACAGACATTGATATGTAACGGATCAAAACGGACAATATCTATTAACAGTGGGCTTGGGACGGTCGGTTTGGGGTCTTACAGTAAAAGGGGAAAATTGCACATGCCCAACTGGAGAAAAGGTTGGGTCAACAACAACAGATTTCTCTCATTTTTAGTGTTTGTTGGGAGCTTTAAGACAAAAGGGTCCTATGGCCTACTCATTGCTGTCCCCATTTTAGCATAGCCATGGATTCCTTTGTTCATCCATAATGCTCTCCCCTCCTCCTCCTCCTCCTCCTCCTCCTCCTCATCTACATCCATTCAACCCTAAACCCTCTGCCCTCTTCTCTCAAAAATCACTATCAACTAATCAATGCACTGACTTAGCCACACAAACTAACCTTCTCTCTTTTTCTTTAAGGATGAACATTCAAGAACCCTAAGAAAACTCATAACATACTTTCCAATTTCAGCCCCAAACACAGGAAAAACAGAGTAAATTACAGAGAGATCAATTGTACAGAGTACATACATGTATGTCCAGAAGCACAACCGCCATTCAGATTTTGCATATATGGCCTGAAATGTCACTGTTATACTTGATTCCTATCATAATCATTCAAATTTTGAATTGAAGCACACGGAATGAAAGCAAAAATCAGTAACGAAATTGAAGGATACTTGATAAATATCAATATCAGTTGAGGCTATTTTGTTGTTCTTCATTCAAGAAATCCATACTCACAGTCGCACACCAAATTCCCCCAACACAACGAGAAGAAACGAGTGAGGACAAATTAAGAACAAAATCAAGGAAGAATGAGTAAGGAAATTAAAGAATACTTGATAAATATCAATATCAGTTCGTTTTCTTGTTGGAAGTAGAGGCTATTTCGTTGTTCTTCATTCAAGAAATCCATACTCACAGTCGCACACCAGATTCCCCCAACACAACGAGAAGACAAAATTAAGAAGGAAGATGAAGCAGAAGAAGAAGAAATTAAGAAATATGATGTCTCTCTATCATTTTCTTTTTCAATAGTTCTTTCGTTTGTTCTTCTTTTTCCGAGAATCTTTCGTTTTCTCTTTCTGAAATCTGTGTGGTGATTAAGATGTAGATGTAGTACCTGCAGCAGTAGTAGTAGCAGCAGTAGCAGTAGCAGTAGCAGTAGCAGCAGCAGCAGCAGCAGCGGCAGCACGAGCCATTCCTTCCGTGACGGATGTAAGCTTTTGCAGATTCAATTTCACAACCGTATCTGCAAATAGACGCGTATCCTCTTCCGTATTCCCTTCCGGCACATCTACGATGTACGATTCCAAAACGACAGTCCAGATCTGACCATCGCGCTCCATCTCGTGCACCGTCGTTACGGACCGGTAGTTCCTCAATCGATGGTCGCCGCCTGTGATACTAAAACCTGTCACATACTGATCGTCGTCGAGTATATCGAGTCGCTCTGTACTCGTCGCCGCCGGGAGGCCAGAGATTACATAAACATCTCTGGTGCATCCTACGGTCATTATGAAGTCTTCGGCGACGGAACAGCTCTTAATGAAGTGCTTGTAAATCTGAGGCTTATCGAAGCGGCGGACGACGGACCAAACGACATCGCGCGGCGCTCGGATGAGTTGAGAGAGGAGAGAGGAGCATTGGCCTGGGCGGAGTTCGTAGGTGTGAAATTGGAAGACGAGATGCTTCAGGTCGTCAAACTCGTGCTGAGATAATCCGGCCGGGACGTTGAGGTGGTGGGTTGTGGCGGTGGTGGAGGCGGTGGCGGTGGCGGTGGCGGAGTCGAGGTGGTGGTGGTCGATTTCTGACGGTTCACCCATTTCCATTTATGTTTTAAGCGCTTCTTGTCCAAATGTCGGGCTTTAGACGGATGAGCGAAGACTTTTTGTTCTTTTTTTTCTTTTTAATTTTTTTTATTTTAAATATAAAATTTTAAAAATGAATTTTGTTTTTTAAAAATTTCTGGTTGGAGCGTTAAACGGTTAATCAAAATTTAAAAAATAATAAATGTTTCAAGAAATTTCTTATTTTTATTTATTTTTTAAATATTCTATTGCAAAATTTTTTGTAATAAATAATTTTTATTTTAAAAAATATATAATATAATATTAAAAATAAAAAGATTAAATTTCAATAATATAATTTATTGCCTTATCTAATATATATATACATATATATTTTTATTTGATGTATTTTAAAATTTTGATATTTTTATTATTTATATCTAATAAATTAATGAAAATTTAGATTATTTTATTTTTAAACGCTTTTTAAAATTTTATATTAAATTAAAATTATAAAAATATAAAAATATTTAAATTTAATATATTGAGTTGACAAATAAAAATTCAATCAGCTGGTCTGACATCTATCTTAATATGGTCGACACAAGCAGATTTATTTTCAAAATGACGATCCATATAAATCAATGAATTAATCGATTGGGCCACGTCAAATTAGTCAAAATTTAACTTTAACCCGAGCTTAAATTAGGCTAAGATCGACGTCTCTGAGCTCCGATAATTTTATTGAATTGAAATGAAAAAGGTAGGAATGCTAATAATAACAAAGAAATTTTTATTATTTTTATTATTTTTGTTGCCTTTTGTTTTCATAAAATAATTGTAGAAAATCATTTGATTAATTAAAAGACACAAAAATGACGTGGAAAAGAGGATGAGGTGGAATCCATTGGAAGGAGTCAGCATCATGTGCCACGTCTTTTCCAGCTAATCAAATTATTTAGCCCAATTCCCTAAGCATATCCATAATATATTATCATTTTCTTTTTTTCTTTTTTTAATAATTATTGTCCCAATAAACTTATTTTAATTTGATTCCATTTGCTTTCACATTACCTTCCAACAATTATTGCATTATAAATTTCCTCAATTTGAATATTATTTCTAGTTGGTTTTTAAATAAAATAATCATAATTATTATTATATATATATATTTTTTGTCTTATTATTAAAATATAATTTAACTCTAATTGTATCTCACCGAACGAAGTCAGAGAGAAAATTGGTATTTGATTAAATGATCGTTGAGCTAAAAGTCACTGTTATTTGATTAAACGAAAAAAAAAACGACATGGGTTCGATGAAAAATTAGAGCTTTCGAGTAGCAACGATGAAAAGAAACGGAAAAAAATCTGACTTCGTTCAGGAGATGAGATCTAATGGCAGTTCGGTCAATTTTGTTCAAATCTAATGGCAGCCCCATGAAAAATAAAATCGATTAATCTTATAAATTCGTTGTCGGGTCAAATGCCACATTATTAAAATTTATCATCCCACTTACTCTACAACATTTTTCGTTAGTCAACTAACAGTCAACTCAACACGGACTAAATAATATTTTTAATATTTAAATTTAGCATTAAAATTATTTTAGTGTTTTTTATTCATTTTTAAAATCATTTTATAAAGTTTTTTTTTTTTAGTTAAATTATCAATTAAAAAAAACTTTAAATCAATTTTAGAAAATAAAATAATTTTTTAAAAAAATAAAATATTAAAGCATCCAGCTGACATCTTCAAGTCAGCTCCCACCCATAACTTGTCTGCTCCCCACTTCTTATTTTATATTAAAATAAAATATAAATAAATAAATAAATAAAATCTCTCTCTAATATTTAATTTAATATAATTAGCCCTAATTCTTTATTATTAGTGGGACATAATGTTACATAATATATCCAGTTGATTGATTTAGTTATTTATTTTAAGAATAAAATAGTTATTTAGTTGACTAAATAATATTAATTTTTGGGAAATTAAAAAAATATATATATTTATAAATCTAGCCATGATTTTTTAGATTTGCAAGTAAAAAAAATAACTATATTTTTGTAAAATATCTTTTTATTTACTTTTAAATATTTAATTAAAATTTATTGGAGAATAAATAATAATAAAAAATATTATGAAATTAAATAAAAATAAAATAAATATATTTTAAAAATTATTATCAATACATCAATTTTATAGTTAAAATGAATTTTGAATAAATGTCGGTGGTATTCTGCTAATACATCAACGTTAGATGACTAAGTTTTTAGGTCCTTCGATTTACGTTATCTTTTACCGTGTGTGTGTTTAATTTTAACCGTGGAGTTACTTACTGAATATTTTTTATTTTTAAAAGAGTTCCGGACTGTATTATGGAATTTTTGTCCACGTGCAATTTATTTACTTCTGTAATTATAACACTTTTTCGATGATGACGAACTATGCTCGTTTTTTGAGATATGTCGGTACTAGTTAGTGTGCATTTATTTTGTTTTGAAGTTGGTAGACCCGAAAAGTTAAAGTAATAGAATACGATATATTTAATCATTTATTTGTATTCTTAACGATTTCAAAGCTCTATGTTCTTGTATTAAGTGAAAGTTGTCTTTTCTGGAGGGTTAGATGTTGAATTTACATACCAAACGAATATTGCCAAGTAATCAGACCTTACCGATGCTCGCTCGGTGTCGATGTCGTCATGAACTCAGCATCCCGTCTTCCAACGAACACAAAAAAGAATTGGCTCAAAGGACTCAACTTGACACAAGAAGTTTAGAAAAGGAAAAGCATAATGCTTGATTGAGTATCCCTCCAAGTTGAGGCAAGAGAATATAATTACTAGTGAAAGAGCTTGTTGGTTTGTTAATTGTTTTCTTGTTTGGAAATCTTTGTCTAATAGCAATTATTGATAGAACTCGTCAACTTTTGATTTGTGTTGTTTTTGTTCTTTCTTTTCGATTAACCCATTTCTATGTTTTAGGTAGCTATCAACTACTCGGTTTTGATTGATAGATACTAAGAGGCTAAATTATAAAAGATATCTATAAGGTTCGACTTTGTTTTAAAAATATAATACTGATCTCTTTGAACTTTCATAAAAATTTTAAAAGTATTGTTAAAAGTAAAACTTAATAGAATGTTAGATGAACATTGGGATTTTTGGAACGAGTATAGCAGTGACCTAGAATGGTATGTCATCGCCACACAATTCGAAGTCTAAGTTTTCGTCTAACATTCTAAGGATCGGAATTTTTACTCCAATGATAGTTTTGGAACGTGTAAAGTTATTTTTTTGTAATTTAGTCCTACCCAAAAGCTTAAGTCGTTCGGTTTAGATTCTTAAGTTTAATCTTTTCAACATATTCTCGACATAGTTAACTAGTAACATCATAGAGGAAACGATAACAGAAAAGTTCCGTTCGAATTCAAAGTAAACGAGAAGTTTTGACATCTTATCATTGCTTCGAACATCGTCCACTAATTGTAGCTTTGATACGAACTCACTTGGATTCACAATAACTTCAAAGAGTCATCAAGTTCCAAGTTGTAGCAAAAATAGTGAAAGAGAAAGAACATATCATAAAAAACAAAAGATAAAAAGAGGAATATTTGAACCTGAAAAAGTGTATGCTGAAGAGCTACCACACGATCCAGCAATGAACCTTTAAAGTGAGTATCTTTTAGTGCAACATCCAATGATATGCACCTTCTTTCCTTCTTGCACCAAATTCTTCATCTATGGGAGAATTAACCACAACCCCACAAGAACAAAACAACACAATATTTGCCAATTATCCTCTAAATCCAAATGATCAAACAAAGAACGGTTGTGCCCAAATGTCACAACTTTTAATGCTCTGATACCACTTGTTGTGTGTCGTAATGCTACAACCTTCAATGCTCTGATACCACTTATTGTGCCCTAATGCCACAACTAAAATATTTTGATACTCAATTGTTGTAGCAAAATGTACAACCAAAAATACTATGATGCCCAATTGTTGTTGCAGAAGCTGACCCAAGATCGGTGGCACTCACACACCCACAAATAGAAATTAAACAAAGAGATACAAACATTTATATGGTTTAGAGATAAGAAATTCTCCTACCTCCACAAGTGATAGCCAATCACTATTACCAAAATGTTTCTCTGGCGAAGTTCCCTCCATTTAGGCAAATACAAAATGACAATGACTCTTCGCCTCAAAATAGTGCTAGACATGCTTAGGCATAGCTAAATGGGAGTTAATAACCAAAATAAAAAATAATATTAATTAAAACCGGTATAAACTAAATGAGATTTAATAACTAAAATAAATGGAACTTAATGTAACTTCACTTTATCGTAGGGTAATTTGAGCAACATTTTTCACAACTTCATTCGAATTCATATTGTATAATTGAGATATCTTTGTTCATATCTGTTAAGAATCATGGAAGTCCAGCACGTAATATAACATAATTGCCTTTTATTCATATTTCATATTCTTTTTCCCCCCCAAATACAAACAATCAAATGCAGAAGTAGATGACTTCAGTTTTACTTCTCGCAACACCCAAGTCGAATAAGAGCACATGAAAAGGAAGAAAATGAACTGTGGTGCCTAGGGAGGAGGCTACATTGAATTACCCTAATATGGATTTTTCTTTTAATTAAGTGAAACCAACATAAATATACAGAACCAGAACAAACAAGGGAGTTACCAAAAGAATTGATTGACTAACCGAAGCTAGATCTGGTGATTTCGTATACCAAGAAGCATGCTGCATTAGCTGGGGCACTACGAACAATCGCTGGTCCAAAGCCTTTGTATAGCCCTTTAACTCCTTCTGACGCCATGATTTTCCTGAAAGCATCAATAGAACCAGAGAACTTTGGGTTTTTGAAATCATCTACCTGAATCACGCTCTTGATAACATCAGTTGGATAGACGGCTAGCCAGAAGGCTGCTCCAGATACACCCCCAGCTAATATCAGAACCTCTCTTCCTAGATTTGAAGTGTCTCGACCTCCTGCAAAGTGCTGTTTTATCATCTCATATACACCAAAAACCACTGCATTTCCAGGCACTTCTCTTGCCATTGTTGGA